ATCCACATGGCCGAAGGACAACGTTGATGAATCGTCGCTCGCCTGTTATAGGCCTGTCTGGGCTGCTGGCCGCAGCCGGTAGCGTGGGTCGACACCATGACTCCTCGACACGTCGACGATCGTGATCGATTTCCATCAAAGTCGATGTCGAGCTTCGATACCGATCGACTTCCATCAAAGTCGAAGACCTCGCCCTGTTCTCTCAACCACCTATATGCCCGCGAATGTTCGCTCATCTCTCGCTGCGAACCGGATGAATCACGAACCTCGTAATCGAGCGTTCGTTGTGTCATTAAATTGCCATGTTACATGGGCGCCATGATTTTGTCGAACCTTGCGGTGATAAAGTACGAACATTCGAGTCGAAACAGGTGAAAAATCTTGCACAGATAATCTTTTAATTCGATATATTATTATTTATATCATTTACATGGCTTAAGCTACCAATATACATAGAATTAGTCTCCATTTCCATTTACATGTGGTGTTATCACGATTAAACTTTAAAGAAATTACTTCGAGTGCTCGAAAGAGCTGCACAGTGTATCTCAAAGATCGGACAATATTTTCCAATATAACGCATCCAGTACGAAATTTCTCTTTTTTACGCGAAGTACAACACACACTTGCCAAGCTGAAAAGCTCGAATTGAACGATGGAGCACAGGCGCCATGTCCACGGCTGGAGAAGCATAAAAGGCTTCGTAAAGTAGCGCCACCCTCTTTGTGTCACCGTGAGGTCCTCGGTTTTCAGAAAGAGTCAATATTGGCGCAGCCACCCCCGTCGCTGTCCAACCCTTACCAACGCGGACCCGACAACTGTCGGTGTCCCCCTTCGTAACGCCCTTCCTCTCTCGACACCGACTCCATTCCCGTTTTTCCCCATCTGTCTCCTCCTTCGCATCCGGGAAGTGGCGTTCACCCTTGCCGAAACCGAGCAATTCTACGTACACACCCCCCACAAATCGTCGTCCACTTCAATCTGATGCGCTTCCATCTTCCACTTACGTGACAAAACACTCTCGATGGAACGATTTAATTAAGTCTGAATAATGGACATTTAATACTCGAGCCACAGCTCTTTTTTTTTTTTT